CTTTACAAATTCCCCCCGACGCTATTTTTAGCACACAAAAGGAGGACATGTCCGGGTAAATCCGGACGAATGGTAACCCTAATTTAGGTGCTGTGATACTGAATGTGGCAATGCCTAACTTTTAGGCCCCTAGAAAATCACTGGAACAACACTGTGATTCACAAAGACCTGAGTTGGGCGCCTAGGCTCCTGTACAATGCATGGAGAGAGTCTGGTGCCTTAGAATGCGATTCATATAAGCCAGCATGCTAGGTGGGGAGCTAGCCAATGGGAGATGTTGCCAAGATGGGTGTGTGCTAAGCCCCACCCCTCTCACAGAGAGACTGAAACCCATAGCAGAATACTATGTGGTTAGTATTCTGTGGTTAGAATCAGTGGTTAGTGTTCAAATCCTTTCTGCCCCGTCAGTAGAAGGAGGGATTGAATCCAGATCTCCCACCTGGTAGGTCAGTGCTCTAACTGCTGGGCTAAAAGGCATAAGGTGGGCACCATCTCCTTCTCTGGTGGCCAGATTTTAAATGGGACTTAGCTCCTCTTTTGAAAATAGGCTTTAGGTACTTTTGAAAAGTTTACTCAATGTAATTATTTGTTCAAAATAGAACAAAACATTTACTGCACTGAGGACAGCTAAAAATGCATGCACACGTTCCTAAAATAACTGTCCCAGATGCTATATATGCCCCTGGGATTTTGTTTCTCTGAATGGGATGAGAGTTGGTCTGTGCCTTGCAAATGAGTGAGGCAATGATACTTGGCATAATCTTTGTATTAAACTGTACTTCAGCCTATGAAAAAGCTTAGCAATCCTTGTGACTGGCCAATGGAAGAATGAGATGCATCTGCCATTGCACCCTCCACTCCAGCTTGCTCTGCCCTATGCTGCCCTTTACCCCCCTAAAATAATTTTAAAAAATAATATTCATGGTGTGAAATCCTGGCCCTGTTACAACCAATGGGAATTTTGGCATCAACTTTAATAATGCCAGGATTCCAACCCTGTACTGAACCATGTTTGTGCCAGCTTTTTTTCTGCATTAAAATATTGCACTCCTATATAGGAAAACATAGTTTTAAACTAAAAGGAGTGTATTCTCTGTGTATTCTATCCAGAGGGCCACATGTATATATTCTGTTCTGATGAGAGCATCTATGATCTGCTTCTGCAGGTCCAGTTCTAACTTCTATGGCTGTAAACAAACTGGGAGTGTGGACTTTTCTAATCAGATATAGCTTGGTCTGAAACCTAGAAAACCATTATGACACTTATTCTTACATATTTATTCATTTTTCATTTTTGGATAGTGCTCTAGGCACCTGTCCCATGAATTAAAAATCACACAAACAAACAAACAAAGAATTGCCTATAACTATATCCACCTCAGCCCATGGGTGCAGGAACAATTTGTATAGTGGGGGTGCTGGGAGCCACTGAACCAAACTGTAAACATAAGAACGGCCCTACTGGGTCAGACCAAAGGTCCATCTAGCCCAGTATCCTGTCTACCGACAGTGGCCAGTGCCAGGTGCCCCAGAGGGAATGAACAGAACAGGTAATCATCAAGTGATCCATCCCCTGTCGCCCATTCCCAGCTTCTGGTAAACAGAGGCTAGGGACACCATCCCTGCCCTGGATGGAAACCACTTCAAGCCAGGGGGTGTTGCCGCACCCATAGTTCCAACACCTACGCCTCAGCCCACTCCCTCCTCATCTGCCTTGGAGGAGAGAGAGAAAACATAGGTTATCATAGCATGTCTGGAACATTCTGGCTCTGAGGGACCAATGAGGGGATTAAGTTCCAAAATGGAGGACCCTTCACAGATAACAACCTGCCAGCAGTTCCCTCTTGTTTATATTAAGGGAGCTCCAATTTGACTCTCTCTTCTGATCTCAACTATGGCAGTATGTCACAGGGCGAGAGGCCATCTTCCAGGCAACCAGGGCCCTAACCTTTTATGGCTCTTTATAGGTTAACACCAACAACTTGAATTCCACCCAGAAGCTTATTGGAAGCCTGTGCAGATTGTGGAGCACTGGCCTGATGTGCAATTCCACTTCATGTGCAATTCCACTTAATAAGCAGGCTGATGCATCCCCAATAGCATCAGCTTCTGAATGGTGCCAGAATGCAGGCCCATACATAGCACATACATTACAGCAATCTCATCTTGAGGTGAGGCATGGGTAATTGTGGCAAGGTCCAAAGCAGAGAGGAAAGGTTGTTTTGCCAGGTGCAGTTGCAAAAATGTGCTCTTGGCTACATCTTGGACATCCAGGAGCAGCCCAAAATCTAGCACGGGGACTGTCTTTAAGTTCTTTGTTTGCACAGTGCCTAGCACAGTGGGGTCCTGCTTGATGGCTGAGGCTCAGCATTACAGTACTATTACTACTACCACTAGTACTATTAATAATACAATGGAGTCGCAGCTTACGTGGGGGGTTAGGTTCTAAAGTCAGCGCATAAGGCGAAAATTGCATATGGTCAAAATTACCCTTGAAAATCATTTAAATCTCCCATAAAGTACAGTATACTGTATATGATTTTGTGTATACAACCTTGTACAGTAATAGGTATAAATGTATAATGTATACAGTAATGTACAGTATATAATAAAGAGTACATATGCAAAATATAATTTTACAGTACTGTATTTTTAATTACAGGGGGTCGTCAAGGCTTGATGTCAATACAGGAAACGGAGGTGATGGAGAGCGAGTCGTAGACAAAGTTGTTGGCTCTGGTTCAGCTCGAGGAGTTGATTGTGTAGGCTCATCTGCTGCTGGCTGTTTTTCCTTGAAACACATAGTGATCGGCACCTGTCGTTGTTGTCTCTTGAGCTGCTCAAACATTTCTTGATACAGTCTCAAATTGTCCATAATACTACGTTTGATTTTGAGGCTTCGTTCCATAGAGGGATCATATTCAGAAATTAAATCATTCAAGTGTTTCACTGCTTGGAACACTTCAGCAAATTTATGAAGATTCCAACTTGCTGGCTCTTACTGTTCGTCGCCATCATCTTCATCTTCTGTAGACAATTTTATCAGTTCCTCTAACTCTTCGTTAGTCACTGTTTCTCTATGGCTCTCAATTAATTCTTCAATTTCTTCCTCGAGGATGTCAACGAAGCCATCACCACCCAGTTGCCTGGCCACCTGAACAATGCGTTTCACTTCTTTGTCAATGGTCAGGAAATCCCTTAAAATCATTCACACATTCTTTCCATAGGTTTCGCCAACATGCATTGACTGTTTCAGGCTTGATTGCATCCATTACCTGTTTAATATAAGTGATGCAATCGGCAACGTTGAAGGACTTCCAACACTCCATCACATTAAGATTGGGATCAGCATCCATAGTGCTATGTATCCGTGAGAACATAAGCTTCGTGTACATAGCCTTGAAACAGCGAATCACACCTTGGTCGAGAGGTTGGAGGATGGAGGTGGTATTGGGGGGGAGAAAGACGACTTCAACATTGTTATGTGCAAACCAGAGTGCTGCAGGGGGCCAGGAGCATTGTCTACAATCAGCAACACTTTAAAGTCAAGTCCTTTCTCTTCGAGGTACCACTTGACCTCCGGAACGAAACACTTGTGGAACCAATCCAGAAATAATGCTGCCGTCACCAAAGCTTTTTTATTTGATTGCCAGAACACAGGCAGGAGATTTTTGTTCTTGCCTTTTAGGGCACGGGGATTTGTAGCCCTGTAGAGCAAGCCTGGCTTTATTAAATGCCCAGCCTCATTGCCACAAAACAACACAGTCACATGGTCTTTAGCTGCTTTGAAGCCAGGGGCTTGTCTTTCTGATTTCGAAATGTAAGTGCGGTTGGGCATTTTTTTCCAGAAGAGCCCAGTCTCGTCAGCATTAAAAACTTGTTCTGGAAGATAGACCTTTTCTTCTATGATTTTCTTTAATTGTTCAGAGTAGGCTTTTGCTGCCTCTTCATTGGCAGATGCAGTTTCACCAGTAGTCTGCACGTTTTTGAGGTTGAAACGGTTCCTAAAACTGTTAAGCCAACCTTGGCTGGCTTTGAATTCCTTCTCATCAGAAGGCTGTCCCTCTTCGGCAGGAGGTTTGAACAGCGCGTAGAGGCTAAGATCCTTTTCTCGCAACGTGTTGCCATCGATAGGCACATGTTTACGATTCATGTCTTCCAACCATAAGTTTAATGCCTTTTCAGTCTTCACTAAAATCTTATCACACACCTGACTCATCACCTTAGCAGTTATTGGAGCACTTGATGCCACGGTTTGATGAATTTCTGTCTCTTGAATCTTGATGGCACGGATGCTAGATTCGTTGCGGCCATATTTACGCGCCATGTTGGAGACTGACATACCGTCTCTCAATAAGTCCAACGCAGCCAGTTTTTCCTCCAGCGTTGGAACAGATCGCTGTTTCTTCAGTTGAGCACCAGATGAAGTAGTTGGCTTGTGTTTAGGGGCCATGTTGTACAAAAAATACGTATCTTTAAACACTAGAATCACACTCAGCGCGGCGAGATGCTCACACTATGAGAGGCATGCAGGAACTGAGACTGACTGAGGGAACAGCAGATTCATGTCTTCCATCTCACGCTCACTCCAGGGCATATGCTCATTGGGTGGAATCGCCCGCACTATTTACAGGTATCTTGTTGTTTTTCTTTTTTTTGCCGAGCGCGTATAGTTGAATTCACGTAAGTTAAATGCACATATGATGTGACTTGCCTGTAATAGCACTGCCAAATTGTGCATCTGTTTTGCAAATGTACTTGGTGCCATTTAAAGCCACGCAGACACTCAAAGGTATCTAAAAAACTCAAATAGTTTAGTCAGAATAATTTATCTTACCTAGAGCTCTCATAATGAGTGTGTACAGACCAACTGCAAGAGATTTCAGCTCTGGGTGAACACACCTAAAAATAGATAGATGTAAGTCACAATAATAGGTCTCCATAATACCTAGACGTCCTCATTAAGATGTATTATTTCCCCACAGAATTATTATTCTTAATGACAAAATACAAAACTTCAGAAGGAAGCTGTCTCATACATTTGCCAAATACACATTAAATGACGTGGGAAAAGTGAACTAATCAATTGCTCTCCATTGAATATTCACTGGGAAGTCAACGTACAGCACATAATTAGTGAGGTGAATCTATATGAAATATTGGCACCTTCTACCCATGTTTTGCAGAATTGGGTGTCCCTAAATACCCGTTCTACTGCCTTTTCATTATGGGTTTTATGAACTTATGGGGACTATGATATTGCCCTAGGGCAAAACTTCTAGAAATGGCATAATTGGGGCAGCATCTTGTAACATTGTAATGCCATTCCCAAGGCTGAGTTTTCAAGAGCCACATTCTTAGCAAAGATGCAAAGCAACATGCCACTCAAATTGGTATATCACTAATTTCCAAGAGATTAAGCTAAACTGCTGCCACAGGGGTATCTGACAAGGGTTTTAAGTTAATTATATATCCAATGTGTGTTGGATCCCTTTAAAGTTATTGTCATGAAAAACCACCTTCTTAAATAACAATTATTTCTGCATATTATATTAGCACCTCTTTCTGCATATTCATCTATGACAAAATAATTTTTAGAACTCCTATTAGCATTCCCACTGATTTTGCTTCCAAATTGCCTTCGGATTTCATAGTGACCAAACTTTCTCACTACCAAGCTTTTATCCATCTCCTATTTCACATAAAGAAACAGTGTCAACAAAACGTGTTTCAGCTGGAATTTCTTTTGTTCTTCAGTCTACTTATACAAAGTACATAACCATTTGTGTTTGTAGCTCCTAGTTACAGAAACACATCTAATTGTTTTCTGTGCTACAAACACAAAATTCAGATGTAAAAGCCAACGCGGGTCAGCTTAATAGCAACAGGGAGAAACTGACTGTAACGTATGAACGTAATAGTTAAATTTGGTGGTAGTGCACACCAACCGTTTTAATTCTTCATACTTAAAAATGGATTCAGAGAAGACAGCAGTAAAAGAGTGCTAGATTTCAAGAAAGTTAGGGTAATTTGGGGAAATTAAGTTCCCCATTATGGGAAAAGCCCTTACTGATATTAAAAAAATGATTTTGGTTTCACTTACCTAAACATAACCATGTATAAAGGGGTGCCTCCTAAAGCATAGAAAAAGGCACTTATAACTTGTAATACTGTATAATAAATAAACTTTCTTGAGCAGTCATCACTTTTTGGACATTGTCCCAAAATTACAGAGGTATTTCCTGATTGTGAATCTGTAATTTCCATGCAGCTGCAGTTATGATACACCTAAAAGACACAATTTTTATTTGTCGGTATATCATTAATTCAATATGGCGTACAGCATTAAAATACAAACAAAACCTCACATGAAAATATGACCCGGGTAAACACCCCAGGAGCATCTAACCAGCTCTTGTTTGCATTTCTCAGAGGTTTCAACAGTCAGTAATTTCTTTCCTATGTGTCATGTACTTCTTGTACATGGTAAGTTGCAAGGCTGCTACCAGCAGGTCAAGCTTCTGTATCAATTATAGACTGACTACCAGGGCCATCCCTGGGGTGGGCAGGGCCTGGGACATTAGAAACTCGGCACCTATCTGCTGGGGGGGTGCTTCGCCCAGGCCCTGCCCCACTCCACCCTTTCCGCAAGGCCCCACTCCAGCCCCGCCTCCTCCATGCCTCTTCCCCACCCAGTTCTTCCCCCTCCCCCGAGTGTGCTGCGCCCTTGCTCCTCCCCCCTGCCCCACAGTGCCTCCTGACGCCGCGAAACATCTGATCCGTGGAAGGCGGTAAGTGGCAGGAGGCCCGCTGGTGGGCAGGAGGCACTGGGGAAAGGGGGAGGTTCTGGTGGGGGGGCTCCTGCTCGCCCCCACCCCCCGCTCGCCTCCCTGTTTGCCTCCTCACCCCACTCACCCACTTGCCTCACCGCCCCATCCTCCTCCTGCGGGCCCCCGCAAAGCACGGGGCCCGGGGTGGTCGCCCCGATTCGCCGTACCCTAGAGACGGCTCTGCTGACTACAGGGTTTATTTCTTAGAGATACACAGGTGTCTTCTCCATAGAATCCTTTAATGCTCTGCCAGGTATGGCTAAGGTTAGCTTAAATAAGGTATTTTACTCACAGCACCACCTAATGGCTTAATCATATAATGCCGTTTAGTATTCCATTACAATATGAGCTCTACTGTGAGCCAGGAATCTCTCTCTAACGAAACATTGTTAACATTTAAGAGCTGGATTTTGTAATCAGATCTGGCCCCCTTTGCACCAGTCCCTTGTCTACCTCAGGTGTAGGGGCATGTCAGGGGCAGGAAGGGGTGTGACGAGCTGCTAGAAAGTAGCTCTAATTCTCATCAAGGCCACAGCTGGACCTAAGAATCAGAAAACTGCAACTGGCTCTAAGACCTCTCTCCATTCCCCCTCCCCCATGTCAAAACAGAGATCAAGTGAAGCAGAGAATCTATCCCTGTATCTCCCAACCCTTTCATTCCAGCCTTGACAAAGCACCACAAATCGAGGTAAGTTGTCCCAGGACAAGTCTCAGTGTATATCTGTGCAGCACATTTACCTTAGAGCAGCGGCTTTCAAACTTTTTGAGCTGAGTCCTGCCTTTGAGTTAAAATTTTTGGTTGTGTCCCCCCAACCCGGACAAAAATAGACACAATACCCACCCCTTGGGTTTTCAGGGTGGGGGAAGGTGCATGCGACAGTCTTTGGGGCAGAGCCAGTGCTGGGCATGGAGGCTGTCGGGATGTTGTCACTAGGGTTACCATACGTCCGGTTTTTCCCGGACATGTCCGGCTTTTCGGCACTCAAACCCCCGTCCGGGGGGAACTGCCAAAAAGCCGAACATGTCCGGGAAAATGCCGGCCAGGAACTTCCCCTCCTGCAGCGGCTCTGCTCCTCCCCTGACTCTTCGGCTCTGTTTAAGAGCCGGGCTGCCCGAGCGCTACCGGCTTCGGGCAGTCCCCCATGCCTCCGGACCCTGCGCCACCGGAGCCCGGGAGGGGAAGTGCTCGGCTGGGGGTGCAGGGTCCGGAGGCAAGGGGGCTGCCCGAAGCCCAAGCGCTACCGGCTTCACGGTTTGCCGGGCAGCCTCCAGACCTTGCGCCCCCGTCTGGGCGCTTCCCCTCCCGGGCTCCAGCTGCGCTAGGGAAGTGCCGGCCGGGGGCGCAGGGTCTGGGGGCTGCCCGGCAAACCGTGAAGCTGGTAGCGCTCGGACAGCCCTTTCCGCGTGGCTGGGAGTGGGAGGGAGGAGGGGCAGAGTTAGGGCGGGGTTTGGGTGGGGAAGGGGCGGAGTTGGGGTGGGGCTGGTGGTGGGAAATGGGCGGGGCCAGGACCCCGTGGAGGGTCCTCTTTTTTTATTTGTTAAGTATGGTAACCCTATTGTCACTGACTCACAGGCTGGGTGGCCTACTGAGATGAGTCAAGGGGTGAAGGTGGCGCTCCCTCCCCAAGCCCTTCTGCGCGGGAACTGGTCCAAGCCACCAGGCATCGTTTCCTGAGCTGCCTGGCATTGCCGCTTGCCCCCAAACATTCCTCTGCAAACTCCTGGCGGGGGGTGCACCCCACAGTTTGAAAAACCTCTGCCGTAGAGATTGCACATGGGCAACTACCTCAGCGTAGTTACACTGGTGGCTAAAAACCTCAATGTAGCCAAGGCCTGATTTACGAAAGGCAAACAAATGGAGGTCTGCCTTTAGGCAATGTGTAACACTCATCAGTGTGTGTTGTGTGTTCCCCTCAGTGCCCAATGTGAGTTTGTTACAGCCCCCAGATACCGTGCCTGGCTCTTTTGCTCAAGCTGCAGAGACTCAAGCATCTAGCTCTGGAAGTCTGTGGTTCTCAGTGATCGTCACAAATGCATGACCGTTCCTCTTGCTCTGCAATCGATTTGATCTTTTCTAAATATACATCACTAATATACCAATGTTCTTAAGCAAAAAAGATGGGTAAAAACTGGGTAAGGCTCTTACTTTGTTCTTCCCGTGTCCTGTCGAAGCCTTGCATCCAGCAAGACAAGCTGACATGTACGTGATTCCATTGTCTCCACAGACAGGATCCCACTGGTTTGTGGCACATTTGCAGTCAGAGTTGCAGACAGAAAATAAGGTGGTTTCATGACGTGCAACTGGCTTGCTTACGAGGTAAATTTACAAAGGCATAACATTGTTTTATTACAAAATCCATGTCTCAATTAAACATTAAAGGACAATATCACAAATTTGTCTGTCACTCCTACTTGATACCCTCATTATTATAGAACTAAACTAATATTCCAGGTAAACAAGCTTAAATTGTTCCTATTCTTATAACATTGATCTTGTGGCCTCAGCTTCCATCCCACGTACATTGAAATACAGATGACTACTGGGTTATGAAAAATTCTATGACAAAGAAAGGGATTTCTGTCCATTGTAGCCCAGAAAAATCAGACCTTTAGTTCTAAGACACAGTGAAATCCTTGACACTATCTGTGTCCAGTCCCACCATTCTAGATGCCTAAAACCACACACCCTAAAACTGTTATTCATTTTTTACATGAATTACACTGACACAGTTATTCAATTAAAATCCATACCCCAAACTGATATAATTATAAAGCCCCCCCCCCCAAAAAGTAGCAGTAAGTAACTTTCAAACAAAGTATATCGATATAAAAAAGAGGGCTACATTCTCATCTGGTGTAAATCAATCTAGCTCCATTACAATTTATACAAATTTAGAATCTGACATTTTCTAATGCGATAAATCCTTCAATATTTGTGGAAGATACACTAAGGACTACAATGGTGTGTTTTTATTCAATCATGAAAAAACATTATGCAGTTTGTAATGCTTCTCTGCTACCAGAGAAAGGAAACATGCTGTATATTACATAAGATGTATACATACCCATCATAAGATACTGTCAGTCCTGCCACTACATGGTTCTCACAGCCCACAAAAAAGTATGAGACGGTTATGAGAAAAGCCATCAGTGACATTCCAAATCCAAATTTTGTAGCTCCAATCATGCCCATTTTGTATTTCTTCATTATGAGCCCTCCTAAAAAAATCCCAACGCTTACAGCAGGTAAAGCAGTTACTCCTGCAATAAAAGAGAGAGGAGGGATACTGGAGAGGTGTAGTCACATTCTGTCACACATAACAGATTTAACACATGAGCTGATTGAAATTGGTGAACATTTTCATAACATGCTGCCTGAAAAATTTCATCAATTTAATTCATGTCTCAAAATACCATGACGTTTCAAGGGCCCAAGAATCTCCCCTAATACTTTTGCCAATGAACTTGTGAAAAATACATCTAGATCTATGTAATTAAGGACCAAACTCTGTCCCAACTCGTGCAGCGTCATGAGAGGGTAAGGGCACATAAGGCACCTCCTTATGCCCTTGTGTTGACTACCTGTACCACAGGTTGCAGCATGGAAGAGGAAGTTGGATCCGGAGAAGTGCTAGATTTTCCCTCCCACTGGAAGGAGCATTGGCTTTGTCCGCTCCAAAGTATCAGCCAGAATAGCTGCACCAGCATGTTGGGTGACATGCACTGCAACATGCAGAGGCCCACTGTGGAGTACCACCCATTCAGGGCAGTGGGGACACCAGAAGGCAGACAGTGGCAGACGTCTACCCTAGCAACTGTATATTTTTAGTAAATGTTTTGTTTTGTTTAACTGTGTGTTGGTCCTCCTTCCTAATGATGAACTGAAGGTGCTTTTTCATTCTTGACTGGCCAAAAGCTTCCTACTTCAGCTTCCTGTACAGAGTTTGTAAACCAGACTTGTCCTGAGCTCACTCAGGATGGAAACACTTCCCTTTATCTCACAAATGTTCTGAAGTATGCAGCAGGCGATGATTATATGAACAGTGTTTGCCACGTTGGCATCCAGACAGCTGCAAAGGCAGCACCAATGCGCTTTCAGTTTACCAAATGTGCACTCCACGACCAGTCTGCAGCTACTTAGCTTGTAACTGAATTCCTGTTTTCCAGGATCATTGATGTTGGGTACAGTTTCATGAGCCAAAGCAGAAGCAGGTATGCTACAATACAAGTTGGCACAGACACATTGTATAGAACCACAACATTGCTGGGAAATAAAATCCCTTTTCCCCCACTTCAAGTACAATCCTGATCTCCTCAGCACCCAGCGTTTCCCACATTTGTATTAATGGATCTGCCCCTGTGGTCTACTAAGCCTTTCAGAACAATTAAATGGTAACCTTTTGGGGTCACATACTCAGTTGTGCCCCTTGTGATGGGCAAAATATTAGGATATGAGTGCCATCAATAGTCCCTGCACAGTTTGGAAACTGCAGCCTCAGAAATTCATATATTATTTTTGGAACTTTTCTTATGGCAACCCCTGGGTAAATTAATTGCCTCACAAATCTGCACAGCGACAACCTTGACAGTGGACTTTCCAAACCCAGAGTGGTTTGCAACAGACCTATAGCTTTTTGGTGTTGCCAGCTTCCGCAGGGCAATAACAACCCACTTCTGAATCGGTATGGCTTCCTTGAATGGAGTGTGCTGGAAGGGTTTTGCAAGCTCTTCACACAGTTCAATGAAGGTCTGTTTCTTCATTCAGAAGTTTTGAAGCCACTACTGGTCATCCCAGGTTTCCAAAACAATATGATCTCAGCACACTGTGCTAGTTCTCCTGCATCAGAAGTGACGGTCAACTAAAGGGCATACCATGACTACACTGGCATTCATCATATCTGTACCATGTGAGCTGAATGAATTGTCATTAACCCTCAAAGTCAGCCATCTTCCATGTGTCAGAAAATGCTGGCCAGATTCCATCCAACATCTCACAGAGTGCATACTCCACTGCATACCCATTGATCCACAATAAGGAGCAGAAGCAGAACCAGATAATCATCCATTTACTCCATGTTTTCCAGTTTTGTAGGGAATAACTGTGAAGGGCAACGTGATCAGGAAGTGCCATAGGCAAATGTGTGAAAGCAGAAGACCGTACCAACAAAACACAGCAAAGCAGTTCCTAGAGTGTCTTCCTGTGATGCACAGAATCCTGGAATACTGTTCCTGAAACATTAAGTGCTAACATTAAGTATCTACAGCGATAGTGTGGACACAGGTATACGTGTGTGCACAGCTTTGTACTAGTGTCCAGCACAGCATGCATGTGTATATGTATATGGGAAACATACACAAGTATGAACATGGTATGAACATAAACCAGTACTCGGATATGCACACAAGTATAGACATAGGCTGTAATACTCTGAGATTATGTCTCACGATCTGCCACCTGGTGTGTCTGCTCCAAAGTTGCTCATGACAAAGCCACAATAGAGTCCTTAGCAATTCTATATCTTCAAAGCTTCATGCAAATTTATCCTGGCAGCCATCTATTACAATTTTGGCTCATGAAAAGGAAACAAAGAGAGACACATTACAGTCACCCTAACTGTCCACCACAGACTCAAGCTCTATGGTGACTTTGTATAATTCCATCACAGAAGGGGACTCTAATTCCCTTTAAAAATCTCACCATGCTCAATAAAATGCATATCAAAATACTTTCCCAAGCACTGTAACACTCACCTGTTAAAAAGTTAGACTTAGATGTGGACTGACCATACTGTTGTTCCATGTATTTTGGTTTGTAAGTCAAGAAACCAACAAAGCCACTGAATTGTAACAGTGAACAACACAAAAATGTTACATAAATTCTATTACTCAATACTCTTTTCAGAGAGCTAAAGAAACCTGAAAGAAACAATATACAATTTTATTTTTAAAAATGCTTGGCATAATTATTAGTAAATAATCAGTGAGATTCAGAACCAGATCCTGCCCTCAGACACCTATGTGCTTATCCCACTGGCTTCAGTAGGATTTGCAGGTGAGTATCTGAGGGCAGAATCTGGTCATCAATTAGAATACAGGCTGTGAAATTACAGTAGAATCCTCAGAAATGGTAATCCTAGAAACTTCAGTGGAGACATGCCAACTGAGGCCCCAGTCCACCAGTGAGATCTACACAGAAGGTCCCTGGGGAAATTGAAGTCAATGGGGCAGCACACAGGCCAAAGGGACTGTCTGCTCACATGAATCTCACTGCAGGATCCAGGCCTAAGTGATTTCACCATGGTTCCTCTGTATCTTGTGTCATGTCTTACATTGGAACCTGTAGCCAATGATTTTAGTTTATTGTTCATTTATTGTGTGATGTTATGATTAACTAACATGTTATGTCATATATCGGGGTGGCCAACCTGAGCCTGAGAAGGAGCCAGAATTTACCAATGTACATTGCCAAAGAGCCACAGTAATAAGTCAGCAGCCCCCCATCAGCTCCCCTCTACCCGCTCCCAGCACTTCCTGCCCACTGGCAGCCCTGCCGATCAGCGCCTCCCCTTCCCTCCTGATCAGCTGTTTCGTGGCATGCAGGAGGCTCTGGGGGAAAGGGGGAGAAGCGAGGGAACAGCAGGCTCAGGGGAGGGGGAAGGAAGGGGTGGAGTGGGAACAGGGCCTGTGGCAGAGCCAGAGGTTGAGCAGTGAGCACCCCTCGACACATTGGAAAGTTGGCATCTGTGGCTCCAGCCCCGGAGTCGATGCCTATACAAGGAGCCGCATATTAACTTCTGAAGAGCCGCATGTGGCTCCAGAGCCACGGGTTGGCCACCCCTGTCATATAAAATCATTGTATGCAAAACAGAGTTAAATTGTAGGATTATAGAAGTATAAAATAGATCAGTAGTTAGAAGGGATAATTACATAGTAGGTATCTAAGTAGGTAGGGCTGAAACACAAGGCCTACAGGCTAAGGACTGTAAGATTTTAACTTAGCCATACTAGGCCATAAACTTAAGAAATGCTTGACATAAGTAAGTGACCAAAGAATGACCCTATCCCCCCCACTAAATTACAGGAAAAGATATACCAATGGGTGATATTGTGAAAAATTAACAGAATAAGTTTTTGCTTACAAGATATCCGGTAGTCACATTTTTCTAACACATGCTCTAACCGCAGGGTGCACTACGTGCATAAATGCTAATGAGGTATAGTCAGAATCACATTATAAAAAGAGGGTGCCCAGATTAGGAAAACTGAGTTCCCTATGGGAAACTCCATTAGGAACCATCCCTCTACTGATGATCAATTGGCAAGGCAGCCATCAGACCTTAAGAATATCATTAAGGATGTGTGAGTATAACGATATTTTTAACTTGTGCATAGATCTTTATAGAATTTTTTATATGCTTAGGTAATCATAACTTTAATTGTAACTTTAACAAAACTTGTAAAAGAGACTAGACCACGTATGTGTAAATGTGCGTGTGGTCACTAACCGTGGTCTTTACGTGTTCCTAGACACTCTAAATCTGAAGCAAGTAGCAGAGGTAACGTTCACTCTGTTGCACGTGCAACTCTAGCCACCAGAGTCAAATCCACAATGGTGTAATACAACACTACTAAATTCACTTTAAATAAAATAAAAGACTACAGAACTGAACCAGAATAGAAGAACAGAATACACAATGTCATCTTTTTTCTTGCCTCTACCCTCCCACATTCCTGCATTGAGCACAATTCAGCCAGAATGGAAAATCAGGCTTTCTGTATTTTTCATTGCAGACAGTTGATTTCACATTTTCCATTAAATCTGTGATGATCATGAAAATAATACAGTATGACTTGCTGGGAAAAGAACCTTCTGATTTTTTTAGGCTTACCCACCACTAATTTTAACACAGATTTTAGTTAATTTTGGTCACTCATTTTTCCTCAGTTCCAGTTTGTTTCTAGTGCAAACTTTTAAATGTAGGTCCTGATTATGTAATTGACCCAATGCAGGTCAACCTTCATGGCCACCCAGAAACCCAATGACTTCAAATAACTGGGGTAGGGGGGGCATTCCTGTGTTACATTGTACTGGTAGGTTTCCAGTTTGGCAGAACATATGAAACACTTGCCTTCTGAAGTTACTGACCACTTCACTGGCTGATGATTTTCAGATTTGTGATGCCTGCTCTGGTGTCCTTTAATTTTGGAAAGATCAGATGAAATTTTGTCATTATTCTCTTCCTCCTGCTTTTTGAGACTCTTTGGCAGGAAACAGAATGGTATGGCAGCAATGAGATTAGTTATTCCAGCTACAATAAAACCAAGCCACCAAGCACCTACCCACCGTGAGTCTTTTGGAGTTATGGTTATGCTACCTAGAATAAAATGAGAAAAAAAATGAATTCATGAATTAATGAAGAAAAAAAGAGACACCCCCCTGTAATTGCTGGGAAATCTACATTATACACTGGAAGGAAACTCAGTATTTTCAATATTTAGTGAGCTATATTGAAAGATGACATAGAGCAAGCAGGGCACCAGCAGTCATATAATATAAGAACATAAGAACGGCCACACTGGGTCAGACCAAAGGTCCATCAAGCCCAGTATCCTGTCCTCTGACAGTGGCCAATGGCAGGTTCCCCAAAGGGAATGAACAGACAGGTTATCATCAAGTGATCTATGACCTGTCACCCAATCCCAGCTTCTGGCAAGCAGAGGCTAGGGACACCATTCCTGCCCATCCTGGATAATAGCCATTGATGGACCTATCTTCCATGAATCTATCTAGCGCCCTTTTGAACCCCGTTATAGTATTGGCCTTCACAACACCCTCTGGCAAGGAGTTCCAGAGGTTGACAGTGTGTTGCATGAAAAAATACTTTCTTGTGTTTGTTTTAAACCTGCTACCTATTAATTTTATTTGGTGGCCCCTTGTTCTTGTATTATGAGGAGGAGTAAATAACACTTCCTTATTTACTTTCTTTATACCACTCATGATTTTATAGATGTCTATCATATCCGCCCTTAGTTGCCTCTTTTCCAAGCTGAAAAGTCCCAGTTTTATTAATCTCTCCTCATACAGAAGCCGTTCTATACCCCTAATAATTTTTGTTGCCTTTTTTTGAACCTTTTCCGATTCCACTATATCTTTTTTGAGATGGGGCGACCGCAGCACCCAAGGTAAGGGGGCACCAGGGTCTGGGAGGGACATGGGGGCCAGGGTTGGGCAAGCCACCGGCCAGCAGAGGGCGCTGCAAGACTGGAAAAGCTAATTCCCTGGACGACCGGCAGGAGGTGCCGCGCCGGTGAATCACCGCTTCGCTACACCCCCTCAAAGAATTCTAGTAGATTGGTGAGGCATGATTTCCCTTTACAAAAATCATATTGACTATTTCCCAACAAATTATGTTCATCAATGTGTCTGACAATTTTGTTCTTTTCAATAGTTTCAACCAATTTTTCCGGTACTGAAGTGAGGCTTACTGGCCTGTAATTGCCAGGGTTACCTCTGGAGCTCTTTTTAAAAATTGGCGTCACATTAGCTATCCTCCAGTCATTTGGTACAGAAGCTGATTTAAATAATAGGTTACAGATGACTATCCTGGTTGGTGTTGTTTTTCACTTGCCTTCACACATTTGCTGACTTGTATGATTCAAGGCTACATGCCGCAGAATTTATGGTACTTTTGAGAACATGGGAATCTGAAATAGGTTTCAAGCAGAGTCCCACACACACCCTAGATCTGCTAGGACACAGTACTTTTTACTTATAACCTTTTTTCTTATAGGACCTTCCAGCAAAACACTTAATCATGTGCTTAACTTTAAGCGCATGAGGAGTCTCATTGGCTTCAGTGAGATTTGTCACATACTTAAGTCCGTATTATAGAGAATGTGGGAGCTGCCTGCAGTATTTTTATGAATATCATATGTCCATTTATTTGCTGGATTGTTTATCTATTGTTTGCTATGTGACTACCAAAGAGTTAAGTCATGCAAGAGCTGGGTACACTGGACTGAGGAACAGACAATGGCTTCAAAGAAGCCCTACTGCTGGTACACAAATACAATAGAGTTGTCAATTTCTATTAGGTTTTACGTCTACCTTGCTAAGGGTACTGCCTGGCTGGTAATTCCACGTGTGTCTTGACAGGGTAGGGAAATTCAGGCAGGATATCTAAACAGAGAGCTTTGTCACTGATAAAAGGACAGCCTCTGATAAGACAGTAAGAGACGGATTGATGGGTCTCCTAGCTTATCTCAACTTGCAAAGCAAATGTGGGGGTGCCTGGATAAGCAAGGCCTGCCTTAGCTTAGCTTAGGTAAGGTATAGCTGTATATAGACTATTTATTGTTTCTCTGAATGCCATGGTTCTGAATCAACAATGCTTTGCTTTAAGAAACCTGCTTGGTCAGTGTAATAACCACTTGTCGAAGCTCCTGAAGGAAAGTGTGTACGAGGGTCCAAAACCCCAGTTGAACCTGCTAAGAAATCATGGTTCGTCCAAAAGGGACTGCAGCTGAAGGCCAGGTCTCATAGTGAGAGAATTGCATGATTCCATCCCCAAAAGAAGTGGAGGTAATGAGGCCCATCACCTGAGAGATTGCACTCTAGGAGACCAGGAGCAGTCCTAGCTGTAGTTAACCTAGTGACCATGGCCTATTTGATCAAAATTTTGTTGGGATCAGGGCCTTAAAAAGCAAAATAAGCAAACACCTATATGGGGGCACTGTAAAAGTCTCATCCTGCAAGCATATGCTCTGATATTAGGCTATTTCAAGATCACCAATGGGTGTTACATTTCAAATGCCTTTATTATCACTATTTATTTATATTACACATGCACAGATGTTTGCAATGGAAAAGAGTGGGCACACATGCGTCTGTGTGTGAAAATTTGAATGCACACCAATGGACACCCAATAGAAGCCCCTTCGAAAACATCACCTAGTATATTTTCTTTTTTGTTTGACCCGTAGTAAAATTTGAAGTCAGTAATAGAGAGTAATATTAAACAATTAACATCTTATATGCTCAGCCAACATTTGAAATTAACCACCTAAAATGAAAAATTGATATGCTAGCCAAACCCCATCAGTAAGGACATGACTCAGCAAAGCATTCAGTGAGGGTGCGTAAACACATACTTAAATTTAAGCACGTTTAAATGCTTTACTGAATAGGCATGGATTTAAGCCCATGCTGAAGTGCTTTCCTGAATTGGGCCTAAAATATATCCCATACCTACAACTTTTAAAATTATTTTTTCAGGGAAAACACTTTGTTCTTACCTCACCTTGAAACAAACACATTTATTATTTACTAAAAGGCATGAAAATATTTGGCATATCCTGATATAAAGGACTGGCCATATTGATTATTATACAACAGTTTAATATAATTGGCTCTCCATTTTTCCTTACCTAGATCCACAAATCCAATATCCACATACAAGCTGGCACACAGTGATCCCAACAGGTAGCCAATTATTGGCCCGATCATTGCTATTGTGTGCAAACATGCTGAAAATATAATGAAGTAGACACTGGTAAATTTACAGACATGTGGCCCTATATGTTTTCCACCTATTTTTTCTTATTCCTCTCCTAGAACCACGGTATTCCAGGAAGTGCAAAGACTAGCATCCTGCCATGTGAGATAGGTTTTTTATTCTTCTCCTTTTTGGTGAAAAAGATCACCTTAGGCAGTATTAATGTATCATTTATTTATTTATTTAAATTTGTTTAGTAGCCATTCAAGACTACAAGAGCCAAATTAACTCCATTCACATAAAACTCAAGTTCAAATCTCAGTGCAGGTAGAATGAACCAGGACTCGGTGGATTAAGATAAAAACATTACATGGAAATTTATACAACCTTGTCATTTTCTTTTGAAGGCAGCAATTGACTAGGAATGAAGGCTACCATTTTTCGAAAGAATCTAAGGACTTAGGCACCCAACTTACATAGGCTCCTCTGTAAATCACAGTCAAAATGGAGAGTAGACCTGTGAGGGTAACTAATTCTTTGGTTAGGTGATCAAACCAATAAAAGAAAAGAAAATTGAGACAACCCAAAATGATTTTTTTTTTACTTTTTCAGCACTTTGAAAAAGTCAACAAAATTTCATTTCCGGTCAAATGAAATGTATTGTTCAAACTAGAAAAAAATGTTCATTATTGAGGGGGGGGGTTTGCCTTTATAAAAAGCTGTTAATAAAAGTGAATACAATTTTGAAATGAAAAGTAATTTCAAATTGAAAAGCTAACATGTTTCATTTAGAAAAAGGCACATCCAAATATTTTGACTTTTTCTGATTTTCTAATTTGTGTTTCTGTGGTTTTTTGAGGGAGGGGAGGTTGTTTGTTATTTTATTTGACCAAAACAATTTGGCAAATTCAATACAAATTCACAAAATGTTTCAGTGGATGCAAATCTGCATTTATCAGAGAGAAAAAAAAGCTTTGTCAAAAGATTTTTGCCTGGTTTTAATGGAGAGAGTTTAAAAAAAAAATAGGACTCTTTAGAGGAAGACGATCTACTTTTAAAGCTAAAGCAAACTTGATCCTGTCACTGTTTCTTCATAACCAGCCTTTTCATTTTCTTAAGATTACCTATGTATAAAGGAGCATCTTCTTCTGTAGCAAAATCATCAAGGTAAGAAATTCCTAGCGGTGTTATTGGCGATTCCCCAACTCCACGTAACAAGTTGCCCAATAGGACATATATCCACATATATGATGCTGCTGCCTTTACACAATCTGTAAATAACAGTAATTACTATCCTTACAGTATAACAATAAACCATGAGCCTGGCTATAACTCCATTTAACTCTCTCTCTTTCATCTTGCTCAATTGTTTTTCCTTACATAAGATTTAGACTCTATCTAGGTTACCAAACTCATTAACCCCCAAATCATCAGTCCTCCCTTTAACAACACTTCCTGCTATCAGTCACATGCTTGTCTACAAAAGATAGTAATGCAAGGATAATGGTCTGTATTGTTAGGGAAGAATATCTAGAGAAAAAACAACAACAGATTGACATTGTAATAGACATACTCTATGAATTTCATTTACACCTTCAACTATGTCCCCTGATCCAGGCTAGCAGTTGGCTCATGGGTCCTAGAGTCCTTTTTCTCCTCCCATGCAGCATACAGCTGCAGATGCTCTATAGGTATATTCTAAACTGGTAGTGAGGTATATGAAGATCACAGAAATGCCAGTTAATTTCCAGTTAACTCTAACACAGGTTGGGTTCTTAAATTTCCTTTGGGAATCAATTCTCCTCACAAATTACAGTATATGAGAAATTCCTTTAATGTCAATGTGAGATACTTGTATCCAGAAGGGTGGGAGAAACTGGGCCCCAGTAGTTCAGATACTTCTGAATTGGTAGATGTGCTTGCTCTGAGTGAGATTTTCAAGGCTGCTGTATCACTGAAGTGTCACTAACACCCGCCAAATAAGTTACGGCTTAAATGGGGTTTAGAATTGTACTGGCCCTCCACACTGGGATGAATTGCCCTCTTGTGTGAAGACTGATTTATAAGTAGGTCAAAATTGTCACATTTAGATGTATTTTCAGTTACAATTTCTTACCTGAATCTGAAAGTTCTGATAAGGTTTCACTGATACCAGTTACATTTTGATCCACTGAGCAGGGAGAGAGACTTGAAGTTGAGTTGACAGACAACACTGCATGCGATGCTGTTTCATACTTATAACTGAACACACAACATTATATTTAGTAGTGATGTTTCTGGGCAATTGAAGAAATACAGGGGTATATTTTATCTCAGTACAGGGGGAATTTTGTGCCTGCTGTTTTGGTGAATAGAGAGAATGGGCATCTAACTGTCTGTGGACCGCATTCAATTTATTTTTTCCAAAGTGTTAATTTAACAGTAAAAAGGAGGATCATTTAAGTAAAAAAAAAGGGAGGAGGAAGAAATGAGAAAAAAATGAGCAAGAAGATATCAAAAGTGACTATATGACAGATATAACATTTTAAACGGGGAACTTAAAAGAAATATAAGAAATGTGAAAAGAACGAGGCGTACTTGTGGCACCTAAGAGACTAACAAATTTATTTGAGCATAAGCTTTCGTGGGCTAAAACCCACTTCATCAGATGCATGCAGTGGAAAATACAGTAGATATTGTATATATATCTTCCTACTGTATTTATTTTCCACTGCATGCATCCGATGAAGTGGGTTTTAGCCCATGAAAGCTTATGCTCAAATAAATTTGTTAATCTCTAAGGTGCCACAAATACTCATAGTTATTTTTGCTGATACAGACTAACATAGCTACCACTCTGCAATAATAAATGTGGACATTTAACTCAGGCTCCTTTGAAAATCCCACTCTTAGGATATGTCTATATGGAGAGTTAGTGCATGATAAGCTGGAATGTAAATCTACAGTCCTCTAGCCTGTCACACGCTAACCGGCAATATGGACCTTGCTACTGTGCACTGAAAGTTCCATTGTGCAAACAGCAGTATGTCAAAGCGTACTACAGAACTTTTAGTGTACAGTAGAAGGGTCCACATAGTGAGTTATTGCATGGTATGCTACAGCGCTGTAGATTTACACCCAGTTTGTCATGAACTAATTCTCCATATAGACAAGCCCTTAGTTATTTCTTGTAACTACAGTCCTATAGTCTCTTTGAATTAAGTAATAGAAATGACAAGCTTGATGCTACTGCAAAACAGCAGAAGAGTTAGAAAGACATTCTGCTGAACATAATTCTTTAGTTTTCTTTTTATAATTATTAACTTATTAAGTATCAGAGGGGTAGCCGTGTTAGTCGGAATCTGTAAAAAGCAACAGAGGGTCCTGTGGCACCTTTAAGACTAACAGAAGTATTGGGAGCATAAACTTTCGAGGGTAAGAACCTCACTTCTTCAGATGCAAGTAATGGAAATCTCCAGAGGCAGGTATAAATCAGTGTGGAGATAACGAGGTTAGTTCAATCATGGAGGGTGAGGTGCTCTGCTAGCAGTTGAGGTGTGAACACCAAGGGAGGAGAAACTGCTTCTGTAGTTGGAAAGCCATTCACAGTCTTTGTTTAATCCTTCAACATTAACTTGTTGTGACAGATATGGCAATTTCGTGCAATATCGTGGACAAACCTTACTGAATTAAGTTAAACCTTATTGAAGTAAGTTTAAGTATTTTAGGAGTTCACTGTATTAAGAATGCAAATAGAATGAGGAGTACTTGTCACACCTTGAGCATAAGCTTTCATGGGCTAAAACCCACTTCATCGGATGCATGCAGTGGAAAATACAGTAGGAAGATATATATACACAGAGAACATGAAAAAATGGGTGTTGCCATACCACTTGTTATGAGAGTAATTAATTAAGGTGGGCTATTATCAGCAGGAGAAAAAAAAACTTTTGTAGTGATAATCAGGATGGCCCATTTCCAGCAGTAGACAGGAAGGTGTGAGTAACAGTAGGGGGAAAAATTAACATGGGCAAATAGTTTTTACTTTGTGTAATGACCCATCCACTCCCAGTCTTTATTCAAGCCTAATTTAATGGTGTCCAGTTTGCAAATTAATTCCAATTCTGCAGTTTCTCGTTGGAGCCCCTACTCTACTTGTGCTACATTGATGACATCTTCATCATCTGGACCCATGGAAAAGAAGCCCTTGAGGAATTCCACCATGATTTCAAAATTTCCATCCCACCATCAATCTCAGCCTGGACCAGTCCACACAATAAGCAACGGTCACAAAAACACCAGCCTATACTGGAAACCTATTGACCGCTATACTTATCTACATGCCTCCAGCTTTCATCCAGACCACACCAGACGATCCATTAGAAAATAAGAACAGCTGTACCTGGTCCGACCAAAGGTGCATCCAGCCCAGTAGCCTGTCTACCGACAGTGGCCGATGCCAGGTGCCCCAGAGGGAGTGAACCTAACAGGTAATGAGCAAGTGATCGCTCTCCTGCCATCCATCTCCACCCTCTGACAAACAGAGGCTAGGGACACCATTCCTTATCCATCCTGGCTAATAGCCA